GCCGACATTGTCCTCTCTCTTTTCTCCTTCTTCCTCTCTTCCTTGTCTCCCTTGTGTGTTCTGTCGTCCTCTCTCCCTCCCTCTGCTCCCATCCTCCCCATCCCCCCAAGCCTCTCTCTCCCCAATCTCCCTCTCTCGTATGTATGTATGTATGTATGTATGTATGTATGTATGTATGTATGTATGTATGTATGTATGTATGTATGTATGTAAATGTAATGTAAGCAAGTAAGTAAGGAAAGTAAGTCCCTAAAGTATGTATGTATGTAATGTATGTATTTAATGTAATGTAATGTAATGTAATGTAATGTAATGTAATGTAATGTAATGTAATGTAATGTAATGTAATGTAATGTAATGTAATGTAATGTAATGTAATGTAATGTAATGTAATGTAATGTAATGTAATGTAATGTAATGTAAATGTAATGTAAATGTAATGTAAATGTAATGTAATGTAATGTAATGTAATGTAATGTAATGTAATGTAATGTAATGTAATGCAATGTATGTATGTAATGTAATGTAATGTAATGTAATGTAATGAAATGTAATGTAATGTAATGTATGTATGTATGTATGTATGTAATGTATGTATGTATGTATGTATGTATGTATGTATGTATGTATGTATGTATGTATTTATGTAATGTATGTAATGTAATGTAATGTAATGTAATGTAATGTAATGTAATGTAATGTAATGTAATGTAATGTAATGTAATGTAATGTAATGTAATGTAATGTAATGTAATGTATGTATGTATGTATGTATGTATGTTATGTATGTAATGTATGTTATGTATGTAATGTATGTTATGTAATGTATGTATGTATGTATGTATGTATGTATGTATGTATGTAATGTATGTATGTATGTATGTAATGTAATGTAATGTAATGTAATGTAATGTAATGTAATGTAATGTATGTATGTATGTATGTATGTATGTATGTACGTAATGTATGTATGTATGTATGTATGTATGTATGTATGTATGTATGTATGTATGTATGTATGTATGTATGTATGTATGTATGTATGTATGTATGTATGTATGTATGTAATGTAGTAATGTATGTATGTATGTATGTATGTATGTATGTATGTATGTATGTATGTAATGTATGTACGTATGTAATGTATGTATGTATGTATGTATGTAATGTATGGATGTATGTATGTATGTATGTATGTATGTATGTATGTATGTATGTATGTAATGTATGTATGTATGTATGTATGTATGTAATGTATGTATGTATGTATGTATGTATGTATGTATGTAATGTATGTATGTATGTATGTATGTCGGTAGGTAGGTAGGTATGTATGTAATGCATGTATGCATGTATGTATGTATGTATGCATGCATGTATGTATGTATGTATGTATGTTTGTGTGTAATGTATGTATGACATGTATGTATGTATGTATGTATGCATGCATGCATTCATGCATGTATGTATGTATTTCCCGCAAAAAAAAACACGGTTTTTCCAGCGTTTTCGCAAAGAGGACGTCCAAAAACATTGAGTTTTTCCAGATTTTCGGCAAAAGGATGCAGGAAGCCCAAGCCAGCAAAAAAGCCGGCAGGGGGAATCGAGCCTGGGACCCGCTCCCCGAAGACTACGTTTAGTGGAACGTCATCAAATTGCCGCGCGGTACGTGGGGGACCCCCCCCCCCCCCAAAAAACCTACGTAATAGACGTCGGGCGGGGGGGGTTAGGGGGGGGGTTATCCTCTATCCTCTAGTAAGTATCCGACACGCCGAGCAATGTCGGCGGACATAGGATAAGATACGCTACAACAGGATAATATAGGATAAGACACGGAAATATTGGCCAACATGGGGTAAGGTAGGACAAGTTAGAACAAGACATGATAAGACAACATATTATAGAATAATATACGCTAAGGAAGCTAAGACAGGATACTATAGAGGTAGGTAAGGTAGACAATGTAGATAAGGTAAATTGGATAGACATGATAGATAAGGTAGACAAGGTGGATAAGACATACGATACATCAGACAGATATGCTAGAAACGATACAGAAGCTACTCACAATGAGATAAATAGGAAAGCTGGAGAAGGTAGGATATTTGGAATAGGTAGGTAGATAGAATAGGTCGGTAGATAGATAGATAGATAGACAGATAGGATCAGATAAGGTGATCTGATGATAAGATATGATAAGATAGGGTAAGACAGGATAAGATAGAACACGATGGGATAAGATAGGATAAACCAGGATAAGAAGTTAAGACAGGATAATACAGACTAATATATTGTAAGAAACGACAAGGTAGGTAATGTAGATAGGTAGGTACAATCGATGCGATGCATAAGATAGATCAGGTAGATAAGATATAACAAGATAGATGTGATAGGTAGGATGGGATAGATGGGAGGTAGGTGGGTGGGTAGGTGGGTAGGTTGGTAGATAAATCGATAGATAGATACAGAGGAACAGATAGGATAAGGTAGGAACATATAGCAACATACAAGGTAAGGTAGGATAACATGAGATCGGCTAGGATAAGAGAGGATAGGACGGGATAAGACCGGATAAGATAGGATAGTAAGGCAAATACAGGATAAGATAGACTACGATAGGAGAAGGTAGGATACGATAGGAAAATAAGATTAGATGGGCTAAGACAGGATGAGGGTAGGATAAGACAGGATAAGACAGAGAGATAGGTAGATATATAGACAAATAGATCGATCGATACATAGGATAGATAGGCCAAGACAGGATAAGACACGGTAAGATAGGCCAAAATGCGATAGATAGGAGCAGATAGGATAATACAGGACAAGCTAGGATACGATAGGAAATACAATAGGCTAAGATAGCACAAGACAAGATCATCTATGATAAGATAAGATAAGGTAGGTAAGATAGATAAGGTAAATAGTATAGATATGATATGATAGACAAGGTAGATAAGACGTATGATATTTATCAGGTAGATCAGATGGACAATCTAGATAAGATACAATGAGTTAACTAGGGCAGGTATGAACGACTTTATAGATATGACATCTAGATAGGATAGATAGGATAGATACGGTCAATAGATAGATAGATAGACAATCTGATAGATGGATCGATAGATAGATAGATACATCGATAGATAGGTAGATAGATAGATACATAGATGGATATAAATAAATAGATAGATAGATAGATAGCGAGAGATAGATAGAGATAGGTAGATATAGATAGAGATAGAGATAGACATATAGATAGATCAATAGATAGATAGATAGATCGATAGCTGGATAGATATAGATAGATAGATAGACAGATACATAGATAGATAAATGGATAGACAGAATATGGGATGTGTTTGCCACCTTTTCAAAGGGTTACGTCGCGCAAAAGTTGGCATTTGCACGTTTTTCACCGCTTTCGTGGGTTTCGCGTGTTCACAGTTTTCGCGGTTTTCGCGTGTTTTGCCGCTTTCGCAGTTTTCGCGTTTTTGCCGTTTTCGTGGTTTTCGCGGTTTTCGCGGTGTTTGCCGTTTTCGCGGTTTTCGCGGTTTTCGCCGCGTTTTCCGCGTATTTTTCGGTGCACAAGTCCCTAGAGCCGCACTACACGAAAAAGAATCGCCCACAGTATAATGTAATGTAACTATCTATCTATCTTATCCCACCCTATCCTATCCTAATCCTATCCTATCCTATCCTAGCTATGTCTCTAATCTAAGCTAATCTATCTATCTAATCTATCTATCTATCTAATCTATCTATTTATTCTCTCTATCTATCTAACTATAATCTATCTATTTCATCTAGCTAATTTTCAATCTACTATCTACTATCTATCTAACTACATCTATCTATCTATTCTATCTATCTATCGATCTAATCTAATCTATTTTCCATCCTTTAAGAAAGCTAATCTTATCTAATCTTATCTCATCTAATCTAATCTATCTACTATCTAATACCTACTATCTATCTATCATCTATCTAACTATCTAATCATTCCATCCATTCCATCCATACCATCCATCCAATCCATTCTGTACCAATCCATCTGATCAAAAAAAAAAAATGCTTTCTATCCTATCTATCTATCTATCAATCTATAATCTATATCTACTATCTATCTAATATCGAATCTATCTATCTATCTATTTATCTATCTATGTTAATCTCTACCATACCTACCCTTCACTACCTATCTATAGTGCCCGTGTGGGGCTGGCCCCCCAAAAAGAGAGGAGGAGGGGGGGGGGGGAGGGAGGGAGGGAGGGAAGGGGGGGGGGGGGGGGGCTGGCCCCCCAAAAGAGAGAGCTTTTTCTTGGTGCGGGACTTTCAGAAGACGAATCCTGAAAGATGTCACCTCCAGCAAGACACCCGCAGCCAGGACGTGTTGGAACAGCTGGGTTCCTCTTTGGGGGGGGGTTCGCAAGAGTGCGTGGCCTTTGGCTCCCTTTCACGAAGTTCACGGTGCATGGCCACATGGCGTTGACAGCTAACCATGATTTGAAAACAGTGGTTCATGTATTTCGAGAAGCCATGTTGATTGTCACTTATTTGTTATTTGTATACGCGTAATCCGCAAGAAGACGGCACAAGATACTGTACCTGGCCACGGCCCCAATCCCAGAGCAATTCATAGGACATCTCCCAGCGAGCCCAGGAGAAAAACCCGAGGATCAACCTGAAGGTGGTTGGGCGGGTGCTGAGCTCTGTCTGGGTTTGCGGCCGGTGGTGGGGTGAAGTGTCTCAGGGGCATGTCAATGGCAAGAACAGATACCCACCCACTCAACGTCACAGGATTTACATGTTGAACAGGTTGCCAACCATTGGCATGCATCACAACCTGCAACTGGCTGAACGCGGCTTGCACAGAATGGTTGTGAGTGAATGATCGCGGGTGCTGTTCCCATTTTGTTTTGGTTCAAGACTTTGAGTTGCTTCCGTTTGTGATAACTTCCCGCCAGGTGCCCAGACTCCCCGTTCATGTCGCTAGTAGTCGCCCTTCGTTTTTCCCCAATTTCACCCGAGGTGAAGCTCCTGCTGACGCTGGAGCAGGCGGACTCCCGTGGGTCCTTGGAGGGGGACGAGGAGGTGCCCATCGCCTTCAAGGCATCGGACTCCGAAATCGCGGATTTGTTTTGATCATCCTTTTTTTTCTCCAACCATTTTTGTTTTGTTGTGTATGTGTGCGTGTTTTTTGTGGTTGTGTGTGTGTGTGTGTGTTTTTCTTTGTGTGTGTGTTGAATTTATTTTTTGTTTTTGTGTGTGCACGTGTGCGTGTTTTTGTGGTTGTAATTATGTGTGTGTGTGTGTGTTTTTTGTGTGTGTTTTTTTGGGTGTGTGTGTGTGTATGTGTGCGTGTTGTGTGTTTTGTTTTGTGTCTTTGTGTGTGTCTTTTTGTTGTGTGTGTGTGCGTGTCTTTGTGGTTGTGTGTGTTTGTTATGTGTGTGTCTTTTTTTGTGGAGTATGTGTGCGTGTTTTTGTGGTTGTGTGTGTGTGTGTTTTTCTTTGTGTGCGTGTGTGTTGAATTTGTTTCTTGTTTTTGTGTGTGTATGTGTGCGTGTTTTTGTGGTTGTAATTATGTGTGCGTGTGTGTGTGTTTTTGTGTGTGTATGTGTGCGTGTTGTGTGTTTTGTTTTGTGTCTTTGTGTGGGTCTTTTTGTTGTGTGTGTGCGTGTCTTTGTGGTTGTGTGTGTTTGTTGTGTGTGTGCCTTTTTGTGTGGAATATGTGTGCGTGATTTTGTGGTTGTGTGTGTGTGTTTTTTTCTTTTTTGGTTGTGTGTGTATGTGTGCGTGCTTTTGTGGTTGTGTGCGTGTGTTTTTTGTGTGTGTGTCTTTTGTTTTGTGTGTGTATGTGTGCATGTTTTTGTGGTTGTGTGTGTGTGTTTGTTTTTGTGTGTTTGTTTTTTGGTGTGTGTGTGTATGTGTGCGTGTTTTTTGTGATTGTGTGTGTGTGTTTTTCTTTGTGTGTGTGTTGAATTTATTTTGTTTGTTTTTGTGTGTGCACGTGTGCGTGTTTTTGTGGTTGTAATTATGTGTGTGTGTGTGTTTTTTGTGTGTGTTTGTTTGGTGTGTGTGTGTATGTGTGCGTGTTGTGTGTTTTGTTTTGTGTCTTTGTGTGTGTCTTTTTGTTGTGTGTGTGTGCGTGTCTTTGTGGTTGTGTGTGTTTGTTATGTGTGTGTTTTTTTTGTGGAGTATGTGTGCGTGTTTTTGTGGTTGTGTGTGTGTGTGTTTTTCTTTGTGTGCGTGTGTGTTGAATTTGTTTCTTGTTTTTGTGTGTGTATGTGTGCGTGTTTTTGTGGTTGTAATTATGTGTGTGTGTGTGTTTTTGTGTGTGTATGTGTGCGTGTTGTGTGTTTTGTTTTGTGTCTTTGTGTGGGTCTTTTTGTTGTGTGTGTGCGCGTGTCTTTGTGGTTGTGTGTGTTTGTTGTGTGTGTGCCTTTTTGTGTGGAATATGTGTGCGTGATTTTGTGGTTGTGTGTGTGTGTGTTTTTCTTTTTTGGTTGTGTGTGTATGTGTGCGTGCTTTTGTGGTTGTGTGCGTGTGTTTTTTGTGTGTGTGTGTGTCTTTTGTTTTGTGTGTGTATGTGTGCATGTTTTTGTGGTTGTGTGTGTGTGTTTGTTTTTGTGTGTTTGTTTTTTGGTGTGTGTGTATGTGTGCGTGTTTTTGTGGTTGTGTGTGCGTGTTTTCTTTTTGTGTGTGTTTTTTGGTTTTATGGTGTATGTGTGCGTGTGTTTGTGGTTGTGTGTGTGCCTGTTTTTTGTGGTTGTGTGTGTGTTGTTGTTTTTTTTTGTGCGTGCGTGTACGTGTGCGTGTTTTTGCGGTTGTGCGTGTGTTGTTTTGTTTGTGTGTGCGTGTTTGTGTGTGTGCGCGCGTGTTTTTGTGGTTCTGTGTGTGTGTGTTTTCTGTTTTTTGCGTGTGTGTGTGTATGTGTGCATGTGTTTGTGGTTGTGTGTGTGTGTGTTTTGTTTTCTGGTGTATGTGTGCGTGTTTTTGTGGTTGTGTGTGTGTTTTTCTTTGTGTGTGTGTTGTTGTTTTTTTTTTGGGTGTGTGTGTGTATGTGTGCGTGTTTTTGTGGTTGTGTGTGTGTTTTTTGTGCGTGTGTGTTCTTTTTTGTTTTTTGTGTGTGTATGCGTGCGTATTTTTGTGGTTCTGTGTGTGTGTGTTTTTTGTTTTTTGCGTGTGTGTGTGTGTGTGTGTGTATGTGTGCGTGTGTCTGTGGTTGTGTGTGTGTGTGTGTGTTTTTTTTTTTTTTTTCTGGTGTATGTGTGCGTGTTTTTGTGGTTGTGTGTGTTTTTCTTTGTGTGTGTGTTGTTGTTGTTTTTGTTGTGTGTGTATGTGTGTTTTTTGTGTGGTTGTGTGTGTGTGTTTTTTTTGTTTGTGTGTGTGCTTTTGTGTGTATGTGTGCTTGGTTTTTTTTTGTGTGTTTTTTTGTTTTGTGTGTGTGTGCTTTTGTGTGTATGTGTGCTTGTTTTTTTTTTGTGTGTGTGTATGTGTGTGTGTTTTTTGTGGTTGGTTGTGTGTGTGTGTGTGTTTTTGTGTGTGTGTGTGTGTTTTGTGTGTGTGTGTGTTTTTGTGGTTGTGTGTTTTTTGGTTTAGATCACGGTTCAGGGCTGGGACATGGGGGGCTGTAATAATTAGTAGTTCCCTGGTGGAACTCGCACGTTGACCGAACACAAGCCGATAGGAGGGTTGAGTGACGGGCAGTGTTCCAGACCAGCCAGAACAAGCAGCCACTGAGGGAAGGACAAGGTTGGGGATCAACGTTGCATGAACCGTGCATTGTGAAAGTGCCATGCAATGCGTTGTTCAATGCATTCTTATAAACATACTAGAGAATACAAGAGACACGCAGAGTTTTTTCCTCACGAACGGAACTGCATTGCGAATGATCGGGGGCTAGAACTTAAGAAGGCATTGTAGTTGTTTTCCAAAATAAATAGCAAACTAGAATAGAATAATGTGGAAGTAGCAGAGTGCTTGATTCATTTTCCTTTTGCAGATGTCAAGGACCTTTGGTCATGAACAGATCCCCCTACTTACCCTACAACATGTCGTTTGCAATGCTGACTCGCTGACACCCTTCCACTCCAACCCTCGGAACTTGTAGCTACAGCTTCTTTGGCCTCCATGTTGTTTGCTTCTCAGAGGCATTTGGTAGCTGCCCGGTTGCCACATGTTGCCACACTTGAACATGCACCCGCTAGAATGGTTTTGCAAGGCTTTCTTGTTTTCCGAAGAATGAGTGGTAGCTCAGACCATGCCGCCTGCAACGCGTACCATATGTGTCACGCGGGCCGAGGTGTTCAAAGACAAGAATATCCACGGTAGCGGCGTTACCAGCTCGGGCACCTACTGCTATGACCGAGAGGCAGCGCACCCATGTTTTTGTTGATCTTGGAAGTGCTGAATCTTTGGGAAAGGAGATTGTGCGCTTTTGGTTTGCAGGGATACTGTACCTTACGGTTAACTAGTTTTCGTGGTGGAACAGCAGCTGATACGTCCTTTGTAGCACTAGACTGGCCGCTCAGGTTGTCTTGTTGGCAATCTGTTCCGTTCAGGACACCAAGGGACTGCGCGGGTAAACCTGGTTGTTTGCTACGGCTTTGGTTGCGCCTCTGGTCAGAAGCAAGCACCACCACGTTCATCTTGGCTACGCTCGTGCGCAGAGGGCGGACGGCGTAGCTGGACGGGTGGTTGAATGGCAACCCCGGGGCCTTTTGTTGTCCCAAATGACGCACTCGTCAGGTTTCAGGACTCTTGTCATTGATGGCCAAACGCCTTAAGCCAGATCTGAAGCTTTCAGCAAGTGGCAGGTGTTTGTCGATGTTGAGCTCACGGAGAACAGCAGCGGTCCGTACATCATTCTGCCCACCACCTTCAAGCCTGGAATGGAGAGAGGCTTCATCATGCACCTTGCCCAGCGTGCAGGTGAGTGCTTAAATCTAGGGGTGTGAGAGGGTACCATTCCCGCAAAAGCAAGCCCAGCCAGGGGGCATTGGTGAGAATCCGGCTGAGAAGGTAGCCAGAGCGCTGCTCTCCAAGCATTAGGGCATCACTCTTCACTCATTCGCGTCGCTCAGGAAGGCAATCTGGAAGGGAGACGCGGGTGCGGTGCAGATGTGGAAGGAGTAGGATTGCCAGCGGGCAGCCAAGCGCAGCTGTGCTGCAAGGGGTCCCACCAAGCATCGTTGCGTCTTGGTTGAATCAGATATATAAGACCGGAGCTTAGGGTAAGTTCATGCTGGATGTTGGGCCCAGGGTGCGCGTGGGAAACGGTACGCAGATCAGCTCCTAGCATGATAGATCGGGAAACCCCTCGAATTTGGTGAGTTGGAAATTTACGGATGACGTTTGTCCTCTTAGGCCTTCCCATCTTGGATTGGAAGCACATCCAGTTTGCAGGCAATGCCGGTTGAAGCTGCAAAAGCTCTGTCCCACTTCGTCAACTTTCCGTTCCAGTAGTGCCAGAAACTCTTGAAACACCACCTGACCCATCCAACGTTGCCGAGGCGAGGCTCACTTGCCAAGTGAGGTTGGCACAGGTTTCACGGTTGGCACAGGTTTCACTCAACCTCAGCGCCTTAAGGGCACACCCCTGCAGGAGCTTGCAGGCCTTTTTATGGAATCAGCTGCACGACTGCGCACAGCTCAGGCACAAGCGTGCGAAAGCTAATGAGCTAAACCAGTGAGGCCGCGTGCCTCGAGGCCCTGCGTTTGCATTCGGGCGCTCAGCGAGGGACCAGGCAAATATCAGCCCAAAGGGCGCTCATGCGCCAAGCGCTGGGCCAAGGTGGCTCAAGACGGGCCCCGTTTGGACTTTGCTTTGGCTGTGCCAATTTCAGGTCGGAAAAGGCTCGGCTCAATGTGTTGGGCCAGGCAGGTAAGAGCGTAAGAGCCAGGAGATGCCCTTGTAAAACAATCCACGCGGAGGTTCAACGGTTGACCCCTGCGTCGCATGGCCCTGAGCCGCACGAAAATTCACATTGACCCTAAGCCGCGGGAATGCATGACAGTCAGCGACTTAAAGTGTGAGGGGATGCTCTCTTGAGGGACCCGCCTTTTGAAAAGGGAAACGAAAGTGACACCCATTTAGGGGGCCTCCCTATTTTGAGACACACCCATCAGTGTTTGACCGTTCTGGGCTCCGTTTCTGAAATGGGCCTTCAGATGTTCATGGCGAGGACCTCAAACCTTAGCTGATTGCTACCGTCCTATGCCAAAGGCAGTCCAATTCTTGAAATCGTGGGAAGGTTGGAGAGCTGAGCCTGTCAAGGCTTTCAGGCAAGTCCATTTGCACTTGTTTAGACGAGCTTGGTCCCTACACAGTCAAACTTAACAAAAACCTCGGCAGGACGCGGAAGCGCAGCGCAGGGCCAAGCTGGCTCCGCAGCAGCTGTTTCTCAAGGCCTGGGGCCACTTCGCCTTGGTCTAAGACGAACGGGAATTCTAGGGGTTCCCATGCGGCTTCCGTTGGTCTCAGCCTTGTCCGATGCGAGTCAGTCGGGACCACGCAGGCTCCCAGCCGCACTGCGATGGAAGGCACGCGATGTACGAAGCAGGGGCCATGGGCTTGGGGCTGCACCCAGGGACCAGGGGCGGAACCACATTGATTTTGGTTGATCTCGGTTCGACCCGATTGAGGATTGAAGGGGGCCTGTTGAAATAGACACGCAGCTCCACGAAGATCAAGATCATCCAAGATCTACTAGATACAGAAATGATATTCCATTGTGATTTCGGATCAGGTTTGTCAAGTCAAGGGCATAGGCCCATCGTGTTCTCTACATTGGGTGGAGTTTCTACAAGACGTGTTTTTGCTTTTGCCTGTGCGGCTGTCGCACAGCCCGTTTCAGGTGAAATCCAGGTCTCAAATTAGAAGGAATTTTGTCAAATTGGCTGATCTTGCCCCCTGAGCGAATTAGCGGGCGCAACAGTCGATATATCCCCATGCGCTCGCCCCCCATCCCGGTCAAACAGCTGCCAAGCTTCTCATGTGAGGTTCTGGATTTGATCATGGAAGCTGCTGGGGGTGGCTTTCACCCTGTAGAATGTTGTTGGCAGTTTGGAAAAATGTGGCATGCTGCGGTTTGCGAGCCTTGCCATTGCAAGCCCTTCGAATGCCATCAAGATGAATTAATAAAGGTCAGTTGGCAAGTGGAGCGTTGAGTTACCTGGACGCTTACCGCTGCTGAGGGGCTGAATTGAAGCAGAGGGAAGGCTCTGGCCAGAAAGCGACAAGAGTGGCACGGTAGCATCGCAGGGGCAGGAAAGTTGCGATCACCGGCCTTTCGAAATCACAGGCGCCAATGAGGTGACTTCTTGACCGAAGTGACACCAAGCTCAGGCACAGGTGTTGCTCGAGCTGGCTCAGGAACAGTGCAATCAACGTTTGACTGGAAGCCCCGGCTCCGTGTCAGTCGGTTTTCTGCCGCGGCCGTGCACAGGGGAGTACGTCAAAATGCCACGCCTGGAGCGAGGACAGGCCAGGGCTTGGGGCCAATGGTGCTTCACATCCAGGGACCATCCAAGGGATTACACGGCCGTTCGTGGGTTCGCCAGTTGATGTTGGCTGATGTTGGCTGATGTTGGCGTTTGGTCGGTTGGCCGGTTTGTTGAATGCTGTCTTGCGGGCTGTTCACAGGCATGCGGAGCAGACTCCGCACAACTTGCAGCCACCGCATGTTTCGGGACGGGGGCGTTCTTCGTGGAAAAGAAGGATGTTTTTTGTTCAGTGCGTGGGGTTGCCATGAATTACTGAATGCGGAAATGCGTTCAGGTTTGGATTGACTAGTGCTTGCTTATGTTGGCGGGTGGCTTTGTTGAATGCAGATTCCGACCAGCATGCTTCCGTGCAGCTGGCTGTGGGCGGGGTCAGAAAGTGCAAGGCACATCAAGGTACGGCAATCCTTGGCACTGTCCATTGTTTTCGTGGTCTTGTAGGATGTGGTTTCATCCCATCAGAAAGAAGGCTGCTTGTTACATCTTGTTGATGTACCAGCCAACCTTGCTACCGCGCGATTCTGGATCGCTGTTGGATCCACTTTCCAGCTTGTCAACCATTTTCCACATGCGCCAGGCGATGTGGAAGCAAGCCGCAGGACCTGGCTGGCCCGGGGCCTGAGGGTTGGGCAAGGGGGTCTTTGGATGTGCGCCTCCAAATTAATCTTTTACAGGCAGGACTGAGCTCATGAAGCCACGCTCAAAGTGGCTTTTCTTTTTGTGCTTGAAATGCACTGCCTCAACGCCTCAAAAATGAAATGGCTGGCATCCGTACTTTCACAGGTGTAAGGCTGGGAGAAGGGCCTTCACACCTAGTTTGGCCCCTTGGCATGGGCTGCTTGGAACCTTCTCTTGGTGTGACTTGTTCTTTTCATGCTCGCGCAAATGCGCACTGTGAAGCTCCTGCCGGGTCTCTAACACAGATTGGTCCTGGAGTACCTGTCCAACTTGCATTTGGGAAGGTCGTGGCCCAGGCAAATTCACAGGGCGAGCCAAGAGTTGTTTATTTCCTCGCACGCAGGCCGTTCATGTTTGCTTCAGTTGCTGTAGTGCCACGGGTTCTTTCACTTGCCGGGAATTCGCAAGCGGGTACTTGAACAAAGGTGATCGACCCGGCACTTCGTGACAATGAGCACGTGCCAGGATCTACAGTACCAGTGGTGGGCGCTGGTTCATCACTGACCGCCTCAGCCTCAGCAACACGACGGGAAAAATATTTTCTCCTAGTGAGCCGCATGGCAGGTGGCCCAAGGCCCCATGTTGCGCAAGACGTATGTCCCGTTTGTGCGGGGTTTGGCTCTGGCCATGCGGCACCTCGAGCGAGGTGTGCGTTGCGGGAGTTGAGTTGCCCAGGAGAGGAGGGCATTGCCGCGTGCACCGGCATCTTGGCCTCGAGTTGTCCGCACCAGGGGCGCTTTCCCCAGGCTGGGGGCTGGGCAGGTCCACAAAGCGTCAATTTAAAGTCAGCACGGTTTGGCCTGTTAAAGGGTGAGCTTGAAAGGATCCTGCAGCATGACAACATGTTCTAGTGACGTTGTGGATGATGATTGCTTGGGCTCTGGCTTCGTGCCTTGCCAGTGCCTGCTTGTCACCATAGTTTGACACAAGTAAGCATTGGGATTGCTGACGCCCACAAGTTTTGACAGCAGTTTGCTTACGCAATGGCTAGCTTGAAGGAGGATTGCTGCCAGCCTGCATCAACTCATGCCGAGCAGGAGACGGAGCATTGGCAAGAATACATCGACGGAGTTCCGACCTCAGAATGGAATACCATTCATGAGCACCATCACGCCGAGTCGGCGGGGTTTGTTTGGTGGGGCTGCTGTTGAATTGAGAGCCAGTCGCAAAGCTTGGCTGTTGGGAAGACAGCGGCTCCTCCCGCTATGTCCTTGACATAACGTGACTCGTGTAACGCACAAGCGACTGATGCCGACCAACCTTTAGTGATGCAACCCTGTCTATATATATATATATATAGACAATACATATATGCCTGAGCCCATTTATGTGAGCGCTTTGAGGTTTCTCAAGCGGGGGTTGTGCCCCTTCAAGGCACCCTTCGATTGTAATTTCGAACATGTCGCCTCGACTCAATGGACTAAGTTCTAGGAAGACCCCTTGCCAAGTGAGGTTTGGCAGGCTGCACCAGCTGTCCTGGTGGTGGCTGCGGGCTTAGGATCGAGTTGGCGCAGGGGTTGCTGGTCTTAATCAAGAGAATATGTTCCTGCTGAAGGCGAGAGCTGTGCCCATGTCTTCAAAAAATACATGTGCGGAGAAGACGGTTGCAGCGTGCTGGACCACAGGCACTTTTGACAGGTGATGATGTCAAAGATTCATGACCCAACTAAAGTGACACAGGTAGACCAGATGAAACCCGGCAGTTCCACTGGCTCGCAGTTTCCTTCACATAAAGGATGGATGTGCGGTGTTTACGGTGCAGGGCCTTTTGCCACGAGAGGTTGCAATACGCTTAAGCGCATCGAATTCACTTTCTTTTCAATTTAGCAGCGAGCATTCAGCTGCAGCGGGGTTTGCAAGGTGGATGGCGAGTGCTTGCGACTGCGGCACATGTCCTCTGTCATAGAGGGCGACTTTGTGGAGGCTTGGACGGGGGTTGGTCACGGGCAGTGGAACAGGAGTGTGTTTGGAATCACAGCTGCCAACGCACAGCCTTTTGGCCGATTCAGATCTCTCCCTTCACGATTTGCTTTGAAATTAGTTTCCAGGTTGCATCGCCTGGTTCTGGATAGTTCTCAGGCTTGCCTGGCGGACGTCTTGGGTACATCACTTGCAACTTTTCCAGGGGAGTGGGCACATGTGGCAAGAATGCATGATTTGCGACAGGTGATGACATGCTTGGTGTGGCCCGCTGTACATGCAAGTTTTGGTTGGTGGAGTTCGACGGGGTGAGGCCAGCGGGTAATGGCCCAGTTGCAGAGCATATGTTTGTGCTTTGGCGCCTGCTGTGCTTTGTGTGCGGGGTGTCGACGTATTTGCCTGGGGTCCAGAGCCTGTGAAGCCCGAGCCTTCAAAGGGTACCCGTTTTGGCCAGGGACTGCCTCACAAAATGCTGCCTGGCACGAAGCAGAGCTCCTTCATGCGACAAGTTGCATTCCCGGAGGTCCGGCATTTGAACTTGCAATGAAGGAGTTTGGCCTAGAAGCAGTGAGCAGAGGCAAAGGCAGTCTCACTGAGCACCTTGGCGTTCACGCTTCCCATTCCAACAGGGTTTGGTTTACTGCCACCCTGTTCTCTTGTTTCGGTGGTTCAGTAGCCGGGCGCACCTGACTGCACGTTTTCTGGCACACGCACATGAGCTACACGTTGCTCCTGGCACATTCTCCTGCCCTTGCATGGCTACGCTTCCCTGACGGTCATGGGCCATGGCGGTGCTGGCTGCCAGTGGCCGATGGCACCTGGGTGGTCACCAGGCGGCCGGGGAACCGGTTTCCTCGCTCTAGGTGCCTCAATGTTTTCGGAATCCCAGCCCTCAACAGCTTGGGCTCAAGTTGGGGGATCTTGATTTGACCCAAGGTGTCGATCATTTGGCTGCACAAATGGCTACAATTTCGCCAACTCTAGCCAAGCATTCAAGCCTGCCATCAACATAAGCATGTAAGCCTGGGCAGCTGTTGCAAAAGCCTCACAGGGGAACGGAAGTAATTAGGAACCAAGTGAGGTTTCTCCACTTTCGACTACCTAGCCGGGTCGAAATCCATTGGGGCCGAATCGCAACCCGTGATCCGATCAATCCTTGTTCTGGTCGGAAATCTTATTGGTCCGAAATCTGCGCTGCCAAGTGCGATTCGAAACCTTATGCTGGAGCATGGAAAGCCCATGCAACTCATAATCCACAATCCGTAAAGCTGTAAGTCACATAATCCGCAATCCGCTAATGATTGGGGATTAGAGTTTGAACAAGCTAGCTCCGACCTACCCGACAACCCAAAAAGGGTTCCCTTTGTTCACTCAAGTGGGTTTGCGTGAGCGCAACAGTTTCCACCGGAGAATTCCGCAGAGCAGCAGGTCAGGGGCGCCGCACCCGCGTTTCGACGCGAGAAAGGCACGCTGCTCCACTCGGAATCGCTCGGTGTGGGTTGAGCAGTTGCGTTGACGGTGAGCAGCGCTCAGTGGGTCCAAGTTGCCATTCTCGCAAGTCTCAGCCATTTAGCTGACTGGTGTTGTGTTTGGGCATCCGACGGAAACGCGCGTGTGGATTGCCTCGGATGAGAAGGCACACGTATGAAGTGTTTTGCCATGTTTTTGCAACCTCGCAGGTTCAGGGAAAACCTGCTGGCATGCAAGGGCAGTGCAAGGCACTGATTCTCCCATCGGCCGCCTCACGGATTTTTGCCCCGTGCAACATGAAGCCAGGAAACCGCGCTGACCGCTGATGTGTGTTCAGTGTGTGCACCCGCAGGCCGAATAACTCTCATGGCCAGCCGCTGGAAGGCTGGAGGGCGGAGGGCAGGGCGACCTGTTGGTTCTCTTTGCAAGGATGGCGTTGTGTCAGTCAGCCCTCAAGCGTTCCAAGATACACTTGGCTTGAGGATGTTTCATCAAATGACCCGAAGAGCAAAGGACAAATACACGGTTCGTACCTGAGCAGCTGAACATTTGAATTCATTGCTAGCAAGCTTTGACATCCCAATCGTTTTGACTCTCAAGCATGTGAGCGGGCCAGGGGCATAACTGGCGAACGCCTAGCTTTAGCCAGCCTTTCTCTATAGGCGCAAATCAGGCCGGGTCTGAATAATTTCTTCGGTTGACCATGTTGGACACCAGCGTGCCACCACTCATGACTCATCGAACTGGTGCATCCCACGTCATTTGCTTGGCATGTCGACTTATGTGCAAACATTTGGGATGGCAACGCTCACATGTGCAGCACGTGTGGGGGTGTAGGATGGCAGCGCATTGTCAAATTGTGCAGTTCTACTTTTGTGACAGCCTGCTTCGGTGGCAGTTACCTTGCCGCCCCCACAGGGTCCTTTTCTATGCCTTCTACAGCCACCATTTGTTTAGAAGTTTTTGAAGGCACCTTAGAGATAGCAGATAGGCATCGTATTGCTTATCAACAGAGCGTGAGCGACTGCAGCCAGTTTCGGAGAAGATCCTGAATTTGATCAGTTCAAGTCACAGGCAAACATGGAAGGGGACGTCTACAATGCTTGCGTGCAACCAGGCTTTGGTGGACTGCTTTGTCAGGCAGGCCCCATGGTCTAAATATGGTACCTGGCCATTTGGCTGGCTTTTTTCACTTGCCAGGCAAGCAGGCAGCACAAGGCCAGGCCTGTGCAAAGTGACGGGCAGCCTGCACAGATACATTTTGCATTGGAGGGCCATTGTTTTAAGGATGTTTTTTCGTTTTTTTTTAGGAATTATTTTTGTTTTTCAGGGTCGGTGGCTTTTCGGCTTTTTGGCTTTTGTGGCTTTTCATTTCGCATCATCTGCATTCACAGTTCCTCTCTTTTCGCATCCTCTGCATTGCCAGTTCCACTGCGGCAGGTGGCTTTTTGGCTTTTTGGCTTTTTGGCTTTTGGCGGCTTTCTGGCTTTGGCTTTTCGCATCCTGATGCTTTCCCAGTTGGTTTTTGGCCTTGGCTTCCTGCATCATCAGCATCGCAAGTTCCTCTCTGGGCCCCCCGCCACCCCCCTTTCGATTAAAATGCACGCCTAATTGAATCATCACTTTTTCGATCATCATGCGACAGCTACTTTTAGATTCTTTGCCCCTATTTTTTTCGATCCTGATGGGCGGGGTGGCTGCCGTTTTACAGGGATTAGTTTGCCCGTATTTGAATCCTCACTTGTACCATGAGGCCTTGCCGCAGAGGAACTGATGACCCCCTGCTGCTTTTTTTTATAAATATTTTCTTGGCCCTTTGTTGAATCATCACTTTTTCAATCATCATGCGGGGGGCTGCCGCCCCCCCCAAACCCCCCCGCGATTTTTTGGACTTTTTGCCCCTAATTGAATCATCACTTTTTTCGATCATCATGCGACCGCTACTTTTTAGATTCTTTGCCCCTAATTTTTCGATCATCATGGGGGGGGCTGCCGCCCCCCCCCCAACCCCCCCGCTATTTTTTAGACTTTTTGCCCCTGATTGAATCATCACTTTTTCGATCATCATGGGGGGGCTGCCGCCCCCCCCCCAACCCCCTCCCCACGCCTTTAATTGAATCATCACTTTTTCAATCATCATGGAGGGAATTGCCGCCCCCCCCCCCGCTACGTTTTAGGTGTTTTACAGGGATTAGTTTGCCCGTGTTTGAATCCTCACTTGTACCATGAGGCCTTGCCGCAGAGGAACTGATGACCCCCGGCTGCTTTTTTAATATTTGTTGGCCCTTTTTGAATCATCACTTCTTCAATCATCATGGGGGGGGCTGCCGCCCCCCCCAACCCCCCCGCTATTTGTTGGACTTTTTGCCCCTAATTGAATCATCACTTTTTCGATCATCATGCGACCGATCCTTTTTAGATTCTTTGCCCTTAATTTTTCGATCATCATGGGGGGGGCTGCCGCCGCCCCCAACCCCCCCGCAATTTTTTAGACTTTTTCAATCATCATGGGGGGGGCTGCCGTCGTCACTTTTTCAATCATCATGGGGGGGGCTGCCGCCACGTTTTAGGTGTTTTACAGGGATTAGTTTGCCCGTATTTGAATCCTCACTTTTACCATGAGATGCGGGAAGCCAATTTGCTGGTGATGCTGGGGATGTTGGCTGGACATGCGGGGGATGTTGAAAACGATGCTGATGATGTTGACGGACTAGCGTAAAATACGTACATTTCGCGAGAAAATGCTGTAAATTACAGCATTTTAGTAGCCAGGACGGAAAACAAAAAAAATCCCAAAATAAAACAAAAAAAATCCCAAATTAAATCTCGACCCTTTTGCATTTGGCGACCACAGAAAGCAAACTATTTCTTGTTACAATGTTACTTAATTCCAATCGAAACCAAAGGCCGCTTGACATGGGATACAGCTAGTGATGGCAGCATGCTTTTGGTCTTTATCCAACTTTACGCGTTTATCGTCGTGTTGTGACAGGCTCTTCGCGTTTTGCGGGTTAAGCCTGGGAAACAGTTCCATGCCTTCAAGCAATTCCATGGTCGACCCTATGTTGCCGCATGAAATGAGGGCTTTATTGGTTCGTAAAGTGCAGGCGCCTGCCGCCTGGCTAGACAAATGCCGCGAACTGCCTTCACAAGAAGAAAAAAGCTGATTCCGGGAGGGACACTTAAATTGGCCACTCATATTTACAGTGGCTGGGGGACGTCCAGCGCAACCCAACAGATCACCGTGCGTGTAGGTTGCACTGGTGCTGGGGTTCCTGGGCACCAAGTACTGTGGATCCCAGATCCACTACGATGAGGCAACGGGCGGGGAGGAGGTACCGGGAGACTTGTCGGCTTTTGCGCTGGCAGGGCTGCTGTATTTTTGCAAAAAGTTCCTTGCTTTGTGGAAGATGTGTAGATTGTCTTTGCGAAGAATTGCCTGGCAGGACCTTTGAATGAAGAGAAAGTGGTTGCCCCCAACCACTCAGACTCCTCGCATTGATCTGGCATTCGCTCATTAGGCCAAAGCCTGGCTGCCATTTGCCAAGTCGATCGTGGCGTCCCAAGTACCCGCGCCCCAACCACAGGCTCGGGCAAAGTGGGACATTCGACAATCTAATTGGTCAGCGGTTTGGGTAAAGTGAAACTCCCAGATGAAGCCAGCTCTTGCATCGCGTCCTTCCTTGTAGCGGTGTTCCATTCATGACGGATTATAGGTCACGTGAGGCATCCCCTCATTCTGAAGAAGGTAGGTGATATGAGCTTTGGTTGGAAGACCCTCAAGCATGATCATGTAAATGATGTCCACCAAAGGCTTACCCATTGTGGATGGGCGGTAGCCTGCTTACGTATTCATGAGGCGTTCTCCATCCCAACTGGTGCGAAGTGGTTTTTGTCCATCCATATTTTTCAAGAGCAACGCCCAGTCTTCGGGTCCAGGAGGAGACCCGGAACTTCACCATTGAGTGGCACCTCCGAAAAGCCCTACGCGAAGTGGGCGCTGCAGCCTCGGCTTAGGGTTGAGGGGGCGGGGGGCGGGGGGGACCATGTACGACGAATACACAAAGATATGCGCAAACACACACACACACACACACGAGTCCAGTTGAAGCCTGCTGTATGAGGCCTTGCTGGCTGAATGCGGAGCGGAAGTCACTGATACGCCCTGTGACGTGCAGACGGGAGACTTAGGGGGAAGTTTCCGGCGTTCTGACCGAGAACGCAAGGACTGCTGCTGAACCAAGCAAGCCATGCCTTGATCGATGCGACGCGGGACAGGAATTCATGCCAGACTCGCAAGGCATCATCAGAGAGGTCAAGGCGCAGGTAGATTGAAGGCAGACGTCAGACGCATCTTCGGGAGGCCCTAGCCCTGGAAGAGGGCGCGGCTGTGTGATATAACAACCTGGAAAAGTAGAGTCTGAAGCCTG